GGGTTAGGTTGAATGAGAAGAAGTTTGTTAGATGCGGTGTACGAAAGGAAAAGAAAGCAGGATTTGGGAGAACTAATTTCTAGTAAGGTCAAATACTCAAATGATGTCATAAAATATATTAAAAATTTTATATTTGCAGCACCACATTTGTTATATTTATGATAGCATTTCATTATAGTTTATTCTAGTTTATTCATGTATACATTTGTTAATTCATTAAGCAGCGACTACAAGAGCATGTTTTATTATTGTTAAAAGGGAATGATATTGGAAAGATGAAATAAGTCATATATGAGGGATAAACCCTCACATGTATAGGCGAAAGACTTGATAAGGTAAGCCTAAACTCTCGAAATTCTAAACGTTGGGAATTCAGACCCAATCTTGAATGAGAGTAGCCTCAATTTTAAAATGTTGGAATTTAGACCCAACATTAAATTAGAAAGCTGGAATGCTGTAAAAGTCTATAGTCATCGCATGACCTATATAAAAGTGTGGAACAATAAATTGAACATAAAGTGATGTTATGCATTTCTTATGCCTTGTATGAAATTTAAATGTGTTTTAAATAAATTGTAAAAATTATTATTATTATTTATTATACTTTACTTGTATATTTCAGTGAGCTCTAGGCTATTCACAATGGTTGTACTACAGGAAAGGAGAATGAGCTAGTAGGGCACTAGACAAAAAGGGTGATCGAATTTTTTGTATACATACACTTTTTGAGTGTACAAATAGATCAGAGTAGGAGCTGTACAAACACTTTTATGTATGTAAGTGAATTTTAAGAAGTTTAGTAAAGCTCTATATTTCATTTGAGGTGCACATTTTATTTGAGGTATTTTACATACGCTTCCTGTTATAGAGTAGAAAATTTGATATATTAAGATATTCTGAATATGCTACTTTTTACTTCCTGATTTTGATAGAGGTAGTTCAAAATGGATGTTAGTAAGAAGGATATATGTTCAGATTCTCCTTCTCTTTACACTCTAAATTGACTATAGGGGGGTCAAAATGAGGTGTGATAGCCACACTGCACTGCTGATATTGCTGCATAAAGAGATAAATGCTAAAAAAACTTGTTTATGATGCATATTGCTGTATAAAGAGATAAATGCTAAGAAGCTTGTTTATGATGCTTCATCATCAACGAGTTTGCGAGTCGAGCTTATTGAGCCTGTAGCTCGAGCTTGAGCTTGAGCTCAATCTCGAGTTCACATATTAAACGAGCTCGGGTTTGAGTTTGATGAGACTTGGCTCATTGGTTCACGAGCTTTCTTGATTAGGTAAATATTTAGGGGCAAAAAAAATCATCTTATTTGTTAATTTGTATTATTTTGAAGTAATTTGACTTATTATGCATTTAAAAAACCTGCAAAAAGTTGTATTAAAAAAGTTTATTGAAAAAGCTTATTACATTTAATGTCAATAATGCATATGCTACTGCTACTAAAAAGAAAGTCTTCTTGCTTGCACTGCTGCTACAGTTGTTTCTTCTAAAAAAAAAAGAAAGCTGTTTCTTCTTTGGTGCTTCTTCTCCAACGAGCAGTTGAGACTTCACCCGAGCTCTCTTAGTGATTTCTCCAGTTTTCCCATCATGCTTTTCGAGAGAACTCCCACCGAGTTTAAGTCGAGCTCTCGAGCTGAGGAGTTGAAGGACATGGTAGTTCGAGTTCAAGCCAATTTTTTGACGACGAGTTGAGCTCGAATTTGCTGTGACTTGAGCTTGACTTGACTCGTTTATACCCCTAGTCGTAATTGTTCACTACTTCACTTTTGAAATGAATGGTATGCATGTTGGAGGGAAAAAAAAGGGTGAAGCTTAGTCTTGCAAGGGATGAACCCAAGCATTGCTCATGTTGCAAAGAAAATAATTAGGAAGAAGCTCAGTCTTACGAGGGATGAACCCAAACATTGCTTATATTACATCACTCCGTTATTTCAATTTTATTTAGATAAGAATTCATGTGATATGGAGTTATTTTTATAGAAGAAAAGTGATAGATTAGATTTTAAGACCTTTCATGCTTATTACTTCATGGGCGAATATTTCAAAGAGGGCTTATAGATTAGGATTACTTAAAATATCACTCTTCTTTTCTCCAACTGACATTAAAGCCACACAATAATAAGACCTAGTAGTTTCCACGAGGAATTCAAATTAGTTATTAAAAACTCTTTCCCAACCTGCTCCAAAGCAAATTGAAGTGGGATTTTGAGCCTGTCATCCAAGACTTAAAAAAATTGTGAAGTCGCAACTAAATCAATATATATGTATTAAAAAATTATGAAATAGTAACAGTTAATGAAATATGCTAGTGACGTGAGCATGGATGTCTATAAATTTGCGAACACAACTTTTGGAGCTTGAAAGGTCCCAACAATGTGAGCGGGCACAATGGAGCAAGGGGAACACCAATGTGAGTTGCATTTGTTGAAATAATGAAGTAGCTATGATGTTTTTTGTTTTTGATGATATGAGCACAACGATAACTGGGTAGAGATGTTTGGAGTAAGACAATTAGCCATAACTAATGAAACGATGACATTAACTAAGGTGCCACCATTGCAGTGGTGACCTAATTCAATTAAAAGATTCTTGTTTGTTGATAAGTTAAGAAATAATCAAGTAATCGAAAATGCACCTCACTTTATCATGTAAATAAAAAGAAATGCTTATTTTGTGAGGAGGTAGGGTTTACTATAAAAATATTGCATATGCATCATAAAATGTAGGTATTGGATTAAAAGAAAGGAAGTGGTCTAATTTCCACTCTCTTCCTTAGCCCTCCCACTTATCTTCTTCTTCAGGGAAGCTGAGAAAGACAATGATGGAAGAATGCCATAGAGGAGTGGCGGAGGTACCAATATGGATGAAGAGATGCAATTCCATGGAGAAGATAGATTGACCAAGATCATTGCTTCTAAGAGGGTAAGGGGATTCTAAAGGGGGCTTATTATTCTGTGAGTAACAAAAGATATGTCAAGTATTAGTACCACTGTTACCAGTGGAGATATAGTGGAGTTTCATGAGGGTGCATGTGAGTGAGGAGTTTTGGAGTTTAAAGAAGAGTGAGATTTTTATCTTTTTCTATACTCAATTTTCTCCTCACTCAATATGTCGTGCGGTAGTTTAGTTCTATTAAAAAAATCTAAATTTTTGAAAGAAAAAAAAAAGAATCCCGGATTACTCTGTTGTTGGTGGGATAGGTTTAAGATGTTTACTTCTTTTTTCTTTCTTTGCAAAATAGTAATAAAAATATAGATTATTACATTATTATATTGGGTAATCTTCCGTATTTTTTTTTTTTTTGAATTTGGTTGAAATTTTTTATGCATTCCATTTCTTAGAGCAAAAAAATTGTGAGTGGAGGATTTTGAAATCTAACCTCCTTAGTATAGAGAGTGAGGGTTTAAAAGAGGAGCATGATTCTTTTTCATTGTGCCTTAATATTATGCATATGGATTTGTGAAATTCTTTCACCATTAATCCAAAATTCTGTAGCTTTCTCGCTACAATTAATGTGGGAAGGGTCATGATCTAATTAGTAGGCATCTTGTTCCATTCTTCTTTTAGTCAGTTTATTATGCTGGATTTTATTGAAAATGGCAATATGACATTTCACTTAAACTGACAAGATCACTACTTGTCATTTAGCATTAATACTTGCATTTTAATTCAAAACCCGAAAGTTATTTATTATGCATTAGATAGCTAAGATACGTAGAAGGTTTTTAGTACATCATCCTATCTACGACTCTCTTTCCTCTGGATGTTAACCGGCTAGCTAATGATTTAAGGTCTCTAACTTTATTGACTCAAGTTTTCTTTACAACTAGAGTTTTGAGGTAGCAAAAAGTCACCATAATATTTGATTATGTTTTTTAATTGCTAAACCAAATTGGATATTTATTTCTTCTTCTATAATTTTTGTATATGGTGTAGGTGTCATTATAGATAAGAGTTTAAAGGATAATGTTATAAAAATTAATAGCTCTCATTTCATCTTTTCTAGTTGTAGTTTGGCCCTCAGGGGGCCAAGTTTTTAAACATTTCTTACTAGTTTTTTAGCATTTGATGTCATTCTTATATGAGTTTTGCTAGTCAATATTCCAAAGTTTGTAGATGGATCTCTAGAAATGTAAGCATTCAATAATTAACTGGCTAGCTAATGATTTAAGGTCTCTAACTTTATTAACTCAAGTTTTCTTTACAACTAGAGTTTTGAGGTAGCAAAAAGTCACCATAATATTTGATTATGTTTTTTAATTGCTAAACCAAATTTGATGTTTATTTCTTCTTCTATAATTTTTGTATATTAGTATAATTATCTGTTATTTTCGGCTGACTCTCATTTCATCTTTTCTAGTTGTAGTTTGGGCCTCAGGGGGCCAAGTTTTTAAACATTTCTTACTAGTTTTTTAGCATTTGATGTCATTCTTATATGAGTTTTGCTAGTCAATATTCCAAAGTTTGTAAATGGATCTCTAGAAATGTAAGCATTCAATAATTTATCCTTTTTAATTTTTCCACACTTCCATATTAACATTTTTTATTTTGCACAAGGTTTTTTTTGTCTGGTGCATGGATCCATATGACATGACCAACCTAATTTTGGTTTCGGAAAAAAAATATGCTCGTCTAATTGTGATTGAATTTACAATTGGCATTTTGTGGCAATTTTTGATTGCTGATTAGTCTTAGTTACGACTTCAGATGCCTTTGTGGCATTTGTCCTGGAAAAATTTTACCCGTCCAAAATAGTTTAACAAGTCTAACGAAGATGATGATGATGATGATCTCTTGAAAATATTTCATAAAGATTATTTATCTGTAACGAAGTGCATTTTCTCAAGATTCACTTTTTTAACACTCGCTAACATAATTTCTTTTGGTGTGCATCTAGTGGTTTTGTGCTATCTATGGAATCTGTTATTTTTATTATTATATGCTATAAGCAGTAATAACCTTATGTTCCTTCCGTATCATGCAGCTGAGGAAATGGAATGAGAGATGGTTGATCCTTGACCCTACGACTGGAAAAATGGAGTACAAGTAGAGTATTTTTGCAATTTCTTGAAAGCTTCTACTTCAATATTCTACTGTTTACGAGGTAGTTAACCAGCTGGCCTGCAGGATACGGAGGAATGAACCCATTGTTAAGGGAACAATTCTTTTTGATTCAGGAAGCACCATTACTCTCTCTCCTGTGAACTTCCAGTTAGAATCTTATTGACAATTACATGCCCTTTTTCTTTTGATTTACTTTCGAGCTGAAAATGAGTTGCTTACTGGGCTATTCTCTCCTTGTTACTGCAGTGGACTGCCAAAATATGATGGCTGTTGTTTCTGTATCCCAAAACTCCCATCTTGTCACGAATTATTTCTTAACACTTATCTTTTGCTATATATGTCATGTTGCTGTAACCATTGTTTCCCAAAACTTAATTGATTCATAAGATATCGGTACCCCACAGAAAAAGGAATACTTCCTTTGTGCAGAAACTCCTGGTGCTGCGCGAGCATGGGTATCCACTTTAAAGTAAGCTTGTAGCGCTAAGGCTTTGGTTGATTAGTAATTTTTTAATTTCCTTGGTTAACTCTTTGATTCCTATTCTGCCATAGAGTTTCTGAAGTTTTTTTTTTGGACTAAATATGAGATGCTTAAAAGTCCTTTGGATTTTGCATAACTTGTGATTAGAATAAACGTAGAACAAAACTACTGCACTTTTAAAACGATGAGTCAAAACAAATAGGGTCCGCTTAGGCCAAATTACGAAGCAAGAGATTTGTAACTTTCACAAATACGAAAAGAAAACAACACAATAACAAGTAGTAGTTTCAAAAAACATCCCTAATCAAACAACGAGAATTAAATAGCATAAAGGTGCACTCAAATCCTACGTTTACTAAGCTTTAGCATCAGTAATGAAAAGTTGTCCGTTGTGACTGTGATCAAGCACAAGATAGGGTTAGACTTAGGAAACTATATTAAAAGGGGAAGAAGAAAACATTTCGTCACGGAGTAGTGGAGATCCTCCACTCGATGCCTTCGAAGTGCTTGTCAATGGCCTCTACCAAATAGATCAATGTACGCTCCAAGTAATCCTCGAAGGTGAGATCAACTCTTGGATTCACGTCGAAAAAAGTAGATTGTAGGATATCGAAGAACCCGTCCTCGTCCCACGTTATGCCATAATCAGTCTCTGGATCCGCCATTCATGGATGATTAAACGTAAAATCTGTTAAGCACTTGATGCACCTCTTGAGTGGTGGCACAGAGAGAAGTTTCTCTTGCACTTGGAGAGGAAATAAAATCCAAATCTCTTCTCAAGAGAAATCTGAAAATAGTTTCAGATATTTGATTCCAAAAATCTGAGAGAGATTTCAGATTTTAGGAATAGGCGTTGGGAAATTGGGTGGAAGAAGCTAAGGTAATAATTCACTTTGGAGTATTAAAGAGGTAGAGAGAGAGGCGGTTTGAAGAGAGAGAGGGGGAGGGGGCCGGCGGGTTAATGAGGGGGGATTGATTTCCTAATTAATTAATTAGATTAGTAAACAATTGGAGGAATTAAGGGGATGGACATTTCGGCCAAATAGGGGAGATGAGATTTGGAAATATTTCTTAAAGCTAGACTTGAGTTTAGGAAATAATCAAGGAGCATTAATGGGCTAGGAGAGAGGGGAGGCCGGCGGCATGCATGGGCAAGGGGGATTTGATATGAGGTGTCATGCTTGCCCAAATTAGATTTTGGGATTAAGAAAATAATCAATTAAATCCAATTTGAATTTGAATTTCAAAGAGTTTTAATTTAAGAACTTTTCTAAAATAGATTAACTAAATTAGGAAAGGATTTGAAATTTAAATTTGAATAATTTCAAATTCAAATCAATCCCTAAATTAGCACAACCAAAATAGGAAATCACAAGGAGGGTGGGAAGAGGAGCTTGGCCGGCGGCTAGGGAAGTGGAGTCGGCAGCCAAGGGGCCGGTTATGGGTTTGGCCGTGAGATTGGGTGGGGGTGAAGGGGTTCGGATGAGGGTTTGACCGTGGGGTTTGGATGAGAGGGAGAGAAAGAAGTCGGGTGAGGGGAAGAGAGGTGGTCGGTGGTGGTGATAAGCGGAAGGAGGAGGACCAAGAGCCACCGATGGTGACTGTTGGGTATGACGGTGACCTCTCCTAGGCTCCACCAAGATCTCTAGCTCTCTCTCTCAAGCTCTCGCATAAGATCTAAGAAAACAATTGTAGACGAAATTCTCATAATAATTCATTAACCAAGAAACAACAAACTAAGGGCTATATATATTCAAGTACAATGGACTCGAGGTAATAAAAGATCAAATTGCCCTTTGGGCTCACACATGACACTTCCCATTAAAGGGGTACAAATAGAAGAACAAACATGACACTAATCAAATAGAAAAATGCATAAATAATAAAATAACAGAAATGACTCAGAAATACAAAGACTCGATCGTAGCCGTAGATTGGCGGCCAGGCCTCTGATAAATCTTCCACGAGCTGATATCCCCATCATTGTTGCTTATATTTCTGCTTTTTTGCCTTGGTCGCATCACATAATCATATGTTATTTCTCTATGCTTTTTTCACTTGCAGCTAGCTCCAACAACAACATATGCATATAGATTTTCTTTTCGTCTGTGTCGTCTACATGTGTTGATTGTTGCAATAGCTTCCCCACAAAATTTGTGTTCAATGCACAATATCGGTGCATGCTTCTTGTCAACTACAACTGCTATTTTGCTTTTATTTTTTCTGTTATGCCTGTTCACTTGATCTCTTTATGATCATTTTACTTGTTTTGCCCACAACCATATCACTTATCTTGCTATCTAGCGGCGTTGTACTTTTTTGAGACTATATCAATATTGTTTTATGTGCGTCTATTGCAGCGATTTGGAGTTAACAATGCTACTTGTTAGTTTTTTGCGAGACTAGATGGTTTCATTTATTGCGGGTGTTGATTTTGAGGCATTGTTGTTACGAATCTCAAGGGCGTGCATTGGATAAAAGCGGTGAATTTTGTTTTTATTGTTACAGTTGGCTACTGCTACCTTGGAAATTTCTGTTTCATTGGTTTTTCATGTGTTGTGAGTGATTTCTTTATGCGTTTGTTTTAATTTTTTGATCTTTGATAAGGGTTTAAATGTGAACTTAATGGATATGTTGAATTAGGTTGAGCTAATCTTATACCAATTATATCCACTAACTTATTGATGAGGAGTTTATAAATATATGTTCTGAGAGATGTAGTTTATCGTATTTAATTTAAGTAAGTTTCTTCTTTCATTTTTTAATTTTGTGTGTGCAAGTTGGATGTGATTTCTTTGAGCATGATACAAGTGGTGCAACTACCTAATTATAGGGAAAGTCCTCTCCTTTTTACTTTGATAACTTCTTACCTTAATCTAATTTCTTGAACATAATTTTTACTTGCTAATGTTTCTAATTTTATTCAAATCAGACCCAATGAATTTAAGTGTAGCAATTAAATTTTAATTGCTCATTGATTCTAAGTAGTTTGAATTTCTTGTGGATATTATTTGGCCATCAAATTAATGCTCTAAAACTTTTCAATATACTTTAAGCCCTTGATTTGAGCCCATTTAGGCTTGGATTGGAGCAATTCTCCTGGTCTCGTTGGGTTTGTTTCACTGATATGTTCAATTTGACTATAAGTTTGTTGAAATTGGAGTTCGGATGGTCTCAAATTTAATTTTAGAAGTTGCATGATGGGGACATCAGCTCGTGGAAGGTTTATTAGAGGCTTGGCCGCCGATCTACGACCATGATCAAGTCTTTGTATTTCTGAGTCATTTCTGTTATTTTATTATTTATGCATTTTTCTATTTGCTTAGTGTCATGTTTGTTCTTCTATTTGTACCCCTTTAATGGGAAGTGTCATGTGTGAGCCCAAAGGGCAATTTGGTCTTTTATTGCCTCGAGTCCATTGTACTTGAATATATATAGCCCTTAGTTTGTTGTTTATTGATTAATGAATTATTATGAGAAATTGAGAATTTTGTCTACAATTGTTTTCTTAGAGCTTATGCGAGAGCTTGAGAGAGAGAGCTAGAGATCTTGGTGGAGCCTAGGAGAGGCCACCGTCGTACCCAACAGTCACCATCGGTGGTTCTTGGTCCTCCTCCTTCCGCTTATCACCACCACCGACCACCTCTCTTCCCCTCACCCGACTTCTTTCTCTCCCTCTCCAAACCCCACGGTCAAACCCTCATCCGAACCCCTTCACCCCTACCCAATCTCACGGCCAAACCCATAACTGGCCCCTTGGCCGCCGACTCCACTTCCCTAGCCGCCGACCAAGCTCCTCTTCCCACCCTCCTTGCGATTTCCTATTTTGGTTGGGCTAATTTAGGGATTGATTTGAATTTGAAATTATTCAAATTTAAATTTCAAATCCTTTCCTAATTTAGTGAATCTATTTTAGGAAAGTTCTTAAATTAAAACTCTTTGAAATTCAAATTCAAATTGGATTTAATTGACTACTTTCCTAATCCCAAAATCTAATTTGGGCAAGCTTGACACCTCATATCAAACCCCCCTTGCCCATGCTTGCCACCGGCCTCCCCTCTCTCCTAGCCCATTAATGCTCATTGATTATTTCCTAAACTTAAGTCTAGCTTTAGGAAATATTTCCAAATCCCATCTCCCCTATTTGGCCGAAATTTCCTTCCCCTTAATTCCTCCAATTGTTTCCTAATCTAATCTAATTAATTAGGAAATCAATCCCCCCTCATTAACCCGCTGGCCCCCTTCCCTTCTCTCTCTCCCTCTTTAATACTCCAAAGTTAATTATTGCCTTAGCTTCTTCCACCCAATTTCCCAACGCCTATTCCTAAAATTTGAAATCTCTCTCAGATTTTTGGAATAAAAAATCTGAAACTATTTTCAGATTTCTCTTGGGAAGAGATTTGAAGTTTATTTCCTCTCCAAGTGCAAGAGAAACTTCTTTCTCTGTGCCACCACTCAAGAGGTGCATCAAGTGCTTAGCAGATTTTACGTTCAATCATCCATGAATGGCGGATCCAGAGACTGATTATGGCATAACGTGGGACGAGGACGGGTTCGTCGACATCCTACAATCTACTTTCTTTGATGTGAATCCAAGGGTTTATCTCACCGTTGAGGATTACTTGGAGCGTACGTTGATCTATTTGGTAGAGGCCATTGACGAGCACTTCGAAGGCATCGAGTGGAGGATCTCCACTACTCCGTGACGAAATGTTTTCTTCTTCCCCTTTTAATATATTTTCCTAACTCTAACCCTATCTTGTGCTTGATCACAGTCACAACGGACAACTCTTCATTGCTCATGCTAAAGCTTAGTAAACGTAGGGTTTGAGTGCACCTTTATGCTATTTAATTGTCGTTGTTAGATTAGGGATTTTCTTTGAAGCTACTACTTGTTATTGTGTTGTTTTCTTTTCGTATTTGTGAAAGTTACAAATCTCTTGCTTCGTAATTTGGCCTAAGCGGATGTGGCCCCTATTTGTTTTGACTCATCGTTTTAAAAGTGCTTTAGTTTTGTTCTACGTTTATTCTAATCACAAGTTGTGCAAAATTCAAAGGACTTTTAAGCATCTCATATTTAGTCCTGCATCATTGCAAACTTGAATATGTCATTCTAAGAGATTTTGGTGACGTATCAAGTGTGCATGGTGTATTTTTTGATTTTTCTATATATTGACCTTTATGCATGATGTCAAAATTATTGTGACTTTCATGATTCTTCGATAACTTTCATTTGGAAATAAAGAATTTTACTATAAATTGATTTATTTTTTTCTTTCTATTTATGATCACTAGTTGTGATTAATGATTTATGTTAGATAATTTTGTTCCCCATGAGATTTAAAGGTTTATCTTTCATTTGTTGCGTTAAATCCTTCACACCTCATTAGAAAATCTACAAAAATAAGTATCACATATCTTTTCTTTTTATCTTGCTCTACATGTTACATTGGCATTAGAAATTCTAGACCTTGAGATGCCCTTCTTAAGGAGGGCGGGCTGGGATGGATAGAGATCTCAAGTCTTTTAGATCGAAGGTGAGAATGTTTTTTAAGTGCCCAACCAAACTACGTTGGCTACTTTTTCTCTGTTTGATTGATCAAGTTGCGTGATTTTGTCCCAATTTCTTTACAGTAAATGTTTCTCAATTAAAAAAAAAAAGATTTGTTAACACTTAATAGATGGATACAGTTTTTTTTCGCATTTTTGTACATATGAAGCGCAAAACAAAGCAGTGTTATAATTTGAAGTTTTTAGGTTATAGGATCTCTATTATTATTTTTTCTATTATGCATCAGTTATAAGGCAGATTTTGGAGTTTGTTATTATTCCATCTGTCTTAGGAACTTTGGATTATGCAGATGTCACTTAAAGCTTTTCTTATGTATTTGATTTTTTCCCCTCACCTTCTTCATCAACCAGTGCATCTCAGTTGGTCCTAAAGGCCCATAAGGAAGCTGTGAGTTCCTTGGGTGGCAGTGGTTCTGCGAAATTGGGAACTGTTGCTTCTGTGGTAGCAGCTGCCAATGCAACTGCAGTGGAAGCTTCCAAAGAAATTGAAGCTGCCATGAAGATTTCCCTGAGAGCTACTTTAGGATCACTGCCAATCAAGGCAAACGAAGTCCATTTAGATGATCTTTCAATAATGAAGGTACGCCATTAGGTTTTTTGTTGTTTCTTTTAGTTTATTTTGACACTAGTTTTTCTTAAGGCACACATTCAACTTGCTGAGCTATGGTTTGTTGATTGACATTCACGCAGCCTCAAATTATTTGATTTAAATAAGCTATCAATGTTTTCTTTTAGCTGCATCACACTGAGGATTTTTTTCCCGAACTTAACATCTAGTCTATAGGTCACACTCAAGAAACCTAATCTTTGCTTCAGACGGTCCTCTATAGGCCATCAATCATGACGCACTCTTGTTGATCAAGTTACTTTTCAGAATTTCTTTAGTAAACGGTTTCACCAAGATTTTCAATCTGCTTGTAATACTGAAATGATGTTGTTGCTCTTTGTAAGTTCTATTTGGTTTCATATCAACTACCAAGAGTATGCCAGTATGGTGGTTTATTGAGTGAAGTAGTCAAAATCTAGTAGCTAGAATGAAGCTGTGAGAATTATGATATGACGTTATTGCGGATATCTAGTGTCACTTAAATATGGTGGGATGAGGTTCTACTTCCGTCTGAAAAAAATTCGTTATGTATCATGATGTGCTCTAATATCACCTCCTGGCAAACTTTTTGGAAAGCCCGATTACAGTTCGTGGCTAATAAAGACCTATGAAGTAATTCTTGTTGTTGTAAGTAGCATGAATCTTGGCAAGATATGCTGATGATCACCTCCTGGTGAACATTTCATTGAAACTGCATTACAATATTCTTGCTGGGATGTAACTTCAAATTTTTCATTATTGGTACATGCTGGAAATGGTCATTGAGTGCCATTAAAATTTAGTTGATGGGTTGTTTCGAGCCCGATTTTGTACCCTCTACAGAATCAGTAAAACAGGACATAATCATGTTAACTCAGGAATTTGGCACTTGAGTCGAGTCCGAGGTTTGCGGGATATCGGGGATTCAACAGAGCAGAGGTATCATTTCGTTTTTATTTTCCTTTGGATATTATACGAAGGTCAACATCAAATCCATGAATAGGATTGAAGGAGATTAAGGGCTGAAATTGATTTAATAAGGTTTTTCCATTTGGATGAAAAGGGTGGACTTAGAAGTGATATCTCCTTTATCTTAGGGGAGTAAGAGTTAAGAGGCTTATTCTTTCATTCTTTGAAGGGAATATGTATAAAGGTGAGAGTAAAGGATAATTTATGTATATTTGCAGGGACATTTGATCGATGGAGAGATACTTTTCCTCCGAGTCGATGCTGGATGGAAGCACCCTCAGGTGAAGGGTATTTTAGTCCTTAAGATCTAAGGGTTGAGAAGTGAGATATATTCTTTGAGATTTGTGCCGGATCATCCCACATCTAGTGATGATTGATGGATGGAACCCTTAGAATTTAAGATCTGAATTACTGGAGATCGAAATTAGGCTATAGGATAGCTTTAAAATTGGTGTCAGGTGTGATTTGAGTTAATTTTGTTAGATCTTGGTATACTTGAAGAGCAAAGTTCGATTTTAGAGATTTGATGGGAGGGCTTTCACATATCTTGAAGCGATCCCCTGATTAAAAGCTAGAAAAACTAATCCTTTTTCCTAACCTTGTTGCATGGAGTTTGTGGTAGTATGAATCTTATTGTCATGGTTGGATGACCCATATTAATTGACAAAACATAATTTTGCCTTGATATATCAAATTCCCTCTTAATTTTGTGTTTCTTATAAAAAAACTAAAAATTCTTAAGTATGATCATTCTACGAGCCTCTAGACATTTTGATCTAGGGGTCTAGTCTCAATCATCTTAGCATACAACCATTCTTAGGATATCAACATGGGCATTTTCTTGGGGCCGTGGATTAAGATACCACAAGTTGGCGATGGCTCCAGGGGGGTTACTACAGCCCTTGTCGCTTCCAAATAGAGTATGGGAGGAAGTGTCCATGGATTTCGTGGATGGCCTACAACGATCGGAGGGATTCACTGTTATTATGGTGGTGGTTGATAGACTGAGCAAGTACGCACATTTCACACCCCTTCGACACGCCTACACTACAGTGACAGTGGCGGCTTCTTTCATCAGGGAAGTGGTTAGATTACATGGAATTCCATAGTCGATAGTGTCTGATCGTGAGAAGGTGTTCCTCAGCCAGTTTTGGAGGGAGCTGTTCAGGTTACAGGGGACTATTCTCAAAAGGAGCACAACCTACCATTCGCAAACAGACGGGCAAACTGAGGTTGTAAATCGGAGCTTGGAAACTTAAGGTGTTTTTCTTCTGAAACACCAAGGATATGGGCCAAATGGTTGGCCTGGGCAAAGTATTGGTACAATACCTTGTACCACTCAGCTTCCCGGATGACCCCTTTTTTAGAGTGCTATATGGAAGAGATCCGCCACATTTGGTGCATTATGGAAGGGGAAGCACACCCGTATCTTTAGTAGAGCAGCATTTGGAAGAAAGGGATAGGATGCTGGAGGAGTTGAAGAAACATTTGATGAGGTCACAACAGATCATGAAGAAACAGGCGGATGCACACAAAAGGATATCCAATTTGAAGTAGGTGAGAAGGTATTTCTAAAACTACGGCCCTACAGACAGAGGACCTTGGCCAACAGAAGAAATGAGAAGTTATCCCCAAGGTATTTTGGCCCCTATGAGATATTAGATAAAATTGGGGCAGTGGCATACCGTTTGAAATTACCCCCTTCGGCCACTATACATCCAGTATTTCATGTATCACATCTGAGAAAAGCCATTGGGGAGTATGCAACCAGTGCTGAACTGCCAACAACATTAACTGAGGAGATGGAAGTGATCCTAACCTCTGGAGCTGAAAGATGTGAGACTTGACCAGGAAGGAAACAAAGAGGTGTTGATCGCATGGAAAGGGCTCCCCGAATTTGATGCTACGTGGGAGCCGGTTTGCTAGAGATTTGGAGAGTTGTTTCTTCCTCTCGAATCAAAGGAACGTGTATCTTTTATTGTTTTCTTGAATCCTTTAATGAAAGATCTTGTTTTGCTTGAGATTTCTTCCACTGATTTGCTGTAAGTTGCTGTTTTCTACTGAAAAACTGCTGTTTTCTGCTACAAAACAGCAGTTTCCTCTTCGTTTTGTGCTGATTTTAGTTAGGTTTGCTTGCGAACTCAAGTATTACCTTAGGGTTACTTGTGAACTCAAGTATTTCCTATCATATTCATCCGAACGTGATGCCTGAAGGTTCAGCACTTGAGTCATCATTTTCCGTCGACATTGTTGAACATAACTTTCCAAGAGGCATAACTGATTTAACACCTGTTAAGATCTAAGAAGCCTGCTGTTATGAAAAAAATTGGTGAATGGTTATGGTTAAGGCAATATTTCTACGGCCCATGGTCCTGTTTAGCCAACCTACGTCCAGTTTTGGGGAGAATAAAGGAAAGTTGGCGGTGGGGAGTAATCATTTGAAAATTTATCTTCTCTGACTTGATAATCTGTTCTGTTCTTATGACACAAGGTTCGGATGCTAGGTAATTGAATTGAATTGTAATTGGAGAACAAGCTGTCAGGTTGCATTTTACCAATGAGCCAATTTTCTAAATTGAAAACAAGATGTTAGAAGCATATGAATCCATTTGTACCCTGAATGAAACTTAATGGTATATTTACTTGTATAGTTTTAATAAATACTTGTGGTAGATGCTATTTATAATTCATCTTCTGTTTTACCTTGTTTGGCAGGAAACCCTTCGAGTTAAAGATGAAGAGCTCCAGCAATTGGCCAAAGAAGTACGTGCAAGAGATTCAACAATACGAGAGATCGCAGACAAGTTAACTGACACAGCTCAGGCTGCTGAAGCCGCTGCATCTGCAGCTCTTGCTATGGATGAAGAGAGGAGGCTTGCTTGCTCAGAAATTGAACGACTAACCAATGATTCAAATAAAAAACTTCAGGCAGTCATGCTTAAGGTGCCCCAACCCAAATCCCTTCATCTCAACTCACCCACGACTTCAGCTAATTGCACAGTCGTATAGGAAATAAAAATAAAAAGAAGCATGCACTTAAATGATTTGATCATTGTTTCTGTTTGATGAAACATAATCTGAGTAAGGAACTTTTAATACGCTTGTTATAATGGTAATAGATGAGCCAGAGGATATACATATTTAACATTATAAATATTTAAAGAACGTGAAATTTGCTAGCCACAGTGACTAATTAGTGTGATATGCATTTCTCTTAATTTCTTTACTTAAGTTGTCAAGCTGATTTTATCATCATCATAATTTGTATGGAATTGTTTGGGACTGGCTTCAAGGATGCTCCTTTTCCATTGATACATCTGAAGTTCTACATGCAGTTTCAGGTTTTATTTGGTTTCATTTTATTCAGTTATATTAGCTATTCATTTGAGTTGTCATCTCAAACACCTTTTTAAACCTTCATCTACTTAACCATTTGAAGCCTGCTTTGAGTCAGCCGCTCTTGAATCCTGCTCAACCATCATAGATGATGCTAAGACCCGTGGGATTCTCAAACAACATGAACCACTTGATTTGAGTCAAACCATTGATTCTTATATCACTTGTTACGAGAGTGGGGGGCCCAATACACTAGGAGATGGACACCATCAACTCAACTTGAGCTAATGGGCTAGGAATAATGCGAATATATTAGAAACCTTGCTGTTGTTTTTAACTTTGATTTAGGACTATTCTTCACCATCGTGTAGATCTTGACTATATTTTATTCTCTCAGTTCAGCCTCTTCCTCTCTCTTTACCTACAATAGTTGTTGGCCCTTCTACCGTCGTAAAACAAAGTTCTTCATTTGCTACAAATGGCTTCTCATGCATTTTTGAAGAGCTTTCTTTACTCTAGCTGTCATCTTCTCCGGTAGTTTCCTGAGGTAATGAAAATTGCAAAGCTCTTAATGACTCTTTGTCCATGGAACTCGGGTCTTCTTAGTTCTTTGATAGTGGCTTCATCTTCAAAATAGGTAGAAGAAGTTTCATTTCATACAGGTTATTCTTGATTTGCATTTTCTGGTATTCAAAATATTCTTAATCTACCAATCTTCGCCTTTACATGCCCAACAACAGTTATTCCTACGTTTTATTCTTAGAAGCTCACAATGGGACTTACTGTATTATAAAGCCATAAGTGATTGTGAGTGGGCTTGGTTACATGCCAATGGAGGTTCCTTTTCAATAGTTATGTTGGAGCGGCCAAGCGTAGGGTTGTGGAGTATTGTAAGGCTAATGTGAAACGTTAAGATGAAAGAAGGAGGAGGGAACTGTCTAGAAGCGGAGATACTTCTCTTTCCTTTGAGGATGATCACATAATATTAAATGCTGCTGTAATCCAATTTCTAGAACTGAATATCTCTATCAATGTATGTGTACGATGGTGCTTACAAATAGGCAAATAATAATTTCCAGATTTGGTAATTGTATATGGATGTTGACACATGTGGATTACTTGGTGGCGATGACACATTTTGTTTTCTTTTCCAAAATGATCCTTCAAATGTTTAGTACATTCTCGACCTTTGTATTTATAATTTAAGGCTTATCCTGATAGTGCGCTCGGAACTGCTAGCCTGTGAAATTTTATTTTATTTGTTTTTAGTTGATGCTACCCATTGGTCAAACCAGAGTAATATAATCATGCATGATATTATTCTAGTCGTTAAACAAAATATGGCTATCTAGTTTTAGTGGGAGTAAAAAGAATATAAATCAGGAATCTGTGTTTGTATAAACTTAACATGCACAAACTAATCTCAAAACCTAGCAAACCCTCACCCCTACGCCTAAATCTTCCAGTCTTAAAAAAAAAAAAAAATCTTCCATCTTCTTTGACATAGTTTAACACATTTCCTCTATACCTCTCTAAAATCTGGGAAATCTGTCTCAAATCAGGATAACCTGAAACTAATCTCAACAAAAATTTAGAAAACACAGTGATTTTAAATAGAGTCTAAACCCCCTCATAGCAGCTATTGCTTATATTACAAAAAATACTCGACTCAGAAAATGATACAAATAATCATGTTAACTATGTCATCTATTAAACTATTTCACTTTCCCTTCACCACCTCAAACTTCCCCTCTCTGTCTACTCATCCTTAATTTTATATACTCGTGCTTGCTATGTTTACACGCATTTCTGATTCAGTGCTGAAATGTGGACTATCTTAAAACTCTTCCAGCATAACTTCCTGTACCTTATCTATAGAAATCCACTTGGATTGTTTCCATAATATCTGGATGTAATTTAAGTCAACTTATACTTCTTAAAAGTTCTTTTCTTTATCTCTAAATTAAATTAAACTTGACTAATATATCAATGCTATGATGAACCTGTTATCTGACTTTTACACCGTTCCATCTAGTTGAAAGAATCAGAAGAAAAGGTTGCAGCATTTAGCAGAGAGAGAGAGATCCTGTTCAAGCAAAGAGATTCTGCTCTTCAAGAGGCACATTTATGGCGTTCTGAGCTTGCAAAAGCTAGAGAACATGCTGTTCTCATGGAAGCAGCTGTGGTTAGAGCTGAAGAAAGGGCCAGGGTTTCACAGGCAGATGCAGAGGCTCGATTGAAAGATGCTGCTGAAAAAGCATTGGTTGCTGCAAAAGAAAAAGAGGATCTTCTAGCATTTATGAATGCTTTGCAATCTCAAGTTCAAAGGTTAAGTTTACTGCTATTCCATTCAGTAAAACTGCCAGCATTTTATTTTTCTCTCTCACTAAGTTTCAATCTTTCATTTGCTGTTTTAGAAGTGGTGAACCAGTGATGTATGTTCCCCCCCCCCCCCCCAAAAAAAAAAAAAAAAAAAAACATACGCACACACACAAAATTCATTAGTCATAAACTCTTAATCTTGAAAAACTCTTTTTTATCTTAATTGAAAATTACAAACATAATGGAAATCAATTCTAGCAAAAAACTAATTGAATTTACTAGCATTGATTAAAAACTGAGGATAAGGGAAGCTACTGAAGCGCCTTAAAATTTACGCACTTGTTGAAAGTCAAATTACATAAAATTTGATCAAAATCAATGTCACTCTAAAAATTATTAACAAAATATAGAAGAATACAGAAAAGTAAGGGAAATAGTTCCCCAAAGAATAAACTCTTTTAAGACTCTTCAAGTGTTGATCAAATAATTGAATCTGGAAAGTAGAATAAATAGCACATCTGACAAGGAATTTTATTCAAATATCAATATTTTTTTAAAAATATCTATCCTATTTATAATCATAAAGCCTAGCAACGAATCTCTTGATCAATCCTAAGGAAAGGTGCCTGGGAAAGAGCTACAATAGAAAGCAGAAAATTCATCGAACTTGCTCGTTAGAGCCTCCAGAGTACAGTAACTGGTGGAGAAATCCGCAAGGAATAACAAGATAAATGTCACTAATGGAAGTAGAGGTGGCCATTGAATATATAAGCTTTTGGAGGATATCTAAGAGAATTGCAGGTATAAAGCACAAGAGAAGCCCAAAGGAAATACTGTAGGCACAAAGAACCACATGAAGTGTCCACCAATATAAGCAGCATAAGGGGACGTCAACCTAACTGTAGAAAACCAGTGCAGGGAGCCAATATGGTTACCTTTAGAGAATATTCAGCGAAGTTAAGCGCAAATAATCTTTTCACAAAGGCTAACATCCTAAACATTCCTAATAAATTTCAAATAAAGAAATAAGATTAAAAATTAATGAAATACTCCAAAACAACTAAAAATCAAATTAAAAATTCAGTTATTAGGGTGTTCATCTTAATGCGTACGTTTTATGCTTTCGATGGCATTAGACTTTGAGATGCACCTCTCTATGAATCTTGAGAGTTGAACCTCAGATTTAGTGTTGGAGGAAGGAAAAAAAAAATAGAATGTTTAGATGGCTGAAGTGCGAATGAAAAAAATATTATTATTTAGCTTATGTATATTTAGAATATGTTGTAGAATATATATTGAGATTTTAAGCCATATTTAATAGAGAAATTCCACCAATGCTGTTGAGAGCTAAGTTTTTGTTGACACATGCTTTAGCATGGCAATGTTTTCCTCCTATAATTCTTCAAACAAAAATATTGCTAGTTCAAACTACTTTATATATTTTGTTAAATCCTAGCTGTCCCTTAGCATTTTGATCCCACGGCTAAGATGGGAATCCGTGGGAGGCTCACCTATTAAATCCTAGCCGTCCCTTGGCATTTTGATCCTAAGGCTAGTATGAGAATTTGTGGGAGGCTCACCTAGATCATGCTGATCTCCTTCCATATTTAGGTGGCCGATTTAGGAAGGATTATATTAGAACAATTATGCATGATTATGTAATTATTTATTTTTTTATTAAGATATATTGTATAGATCTATAAATAGGGGCAAGTTTGTGCAATAAAATTAAGCATGTTATCTTTCCAATTCTTTGAATTTAACATGGTATCAGAGTCTTCATTGGCGTTGCCAAAATTTTGAGCTTTTTGTACTTCCACGCCTTCATTGTTGGCCTTCATTTGTTGTTGTTATCTTTTTATTTATTTTTTTTTTTATTTTTTTTTATTTGTTGTTATTATCTTATTATCTCTAACCAACACAACCTTCGTTGCTATCCTACTTGATACAACCTTCATCACTACCCTTTGCTGTAGTAATTCTGAAACAAATTCCTCTCAAAGCTTTGACCAAATGGAGGACTTTATGGTGCACCAAGGAATAGGAGATCTTCAAAATATGCAACCTTCCTATTGCTTAAATGGGAAGATTTATTTGAAGTGGTCTCAATTTGTGAAGACCCACTTGAAAGGGAAATGAAAGATGACTTTCCTCCTTGGGATAGGACGAAAAGAAGAAGATTCTAATTTTTGGGCGTTGGATGAAGCAGACTCCATGATTATGTCATGATTGTGGAATTCCATGACTACAGAAATTAGCGATACTTTCATGTTCTTATCTACTGCAGAAGACATATGAGATGCCGCCAGTCAAACCTTCTCAAATGCTCGGGATGTTTTTGGAGCTGTTTTTGGCAAATTCCTGTAGCAGCTTTTTCAATTCGAATGGGTGTTTTTGTTGTTTTTGGAGACGAACTCTTAATTTTTTAGGCAAATAAAGATCCGGGTAACGATGGCTGCCAAGAACATGGATGCTTTGAAAGAACGTCCTAAAGGGGAGATGAATCAAATCAAGGCAACGGTGGAGGATAGAATTTCTTCCATGGAAGAACAATTCTCGGATCTACGGGAGTTGATGAAGAAAATGTGGTATCTCCATAACCAAACTATCGCATCAGAGGCGAGAGGGCCGGAAGGGAAAAATACAAATTCTAAAATTCGTAGGGATGAAAATGAGGTGGAGATTGAGAAAACCCCATTTGTAACCTTTTCAAAGGGAGGAGAAAGGTGCAAGATATGGGAAAAGGCGTGGGTGTGTGGAGTATGGGCAAAAGGGTGTTGATTCAGAAGTGAAATATGGGGATTATGGCCGGAGAGGTGTTGATTTTGACAGGAGGGGGGAAATGGAAAAAGGGTTGGGTATAAACGCGGAAGGGAGGATCAGAACACTTGGGGAGGGTGATGCATGACTAAGCGAAATGAGTCATGCAAATAGAGATTTAGGCTAAAATAACATCAAAGACAACAAAATAAACTTCATAAAACATTAAGAACAATGAGAAAATTTAAACTATTAAATCATGTGATAGCAAGAAACTAACAAGTAATGCTAAATATTAAAAATAGGCGAATCAATTTAGACTAGCTAACATGGGTTGGCACAAGTCCAATATTTAATTAAGGGACTAGTCACTAGAGTTTCTGGTCATTCAAATTTAAGTAGGGCTTGACGAATTAATCAACACATATAAGATGATGCTATTATGGATGAAATGAGAAGATCAATATTTAGTTAGAAGAAGAACAAGGGAAGGGTTTGATACTTAACCCATGAATGGGATGAATGGAGTCCTTGATGAAATGACGGCTAGTTATTCCTCGGATTCCCCTTTAATACTCTTTGATAAATCGATGTCCTCGTTGCAAAAGTAGATGCTAGGTTTCCTTCGAAAGGTAGAATAGTGAGGGAGAAAATAAAGTTTCAGCTATAAGAGAATTTGGAAGTGAAGAAGTTAGCTTGTGAGGTGAAAATGTAGAGTTGGTTGCTTGGGAAAGCGAGAGGGTTGATGTGATTTGCTTGGGAAGGGAAGTATTTGACTTGGGAAAATGAAAAGTTAAAGTGGTTGCTTTGCGAAGAGAGAGAGTTTAATGTAATTTGTTTGGGAAAAGGAAAAGTTAAAGTCGTTGCTTTGAGAATATAGAGAATTAAATGTATCTTACTTGGGAAGTGAACTATTTGGCTTGGGAAAAGGAAAAGTTAAAGTGGGTGCTTTGGGAAGAGAGAGAATTAAATGTAACTTGCTTGGGAAGAGAACTAGTTGGCTTAGAAAACAAAAAAGTTAAAGTGGTTGCTTTGTGAAGAGAGAAAAGTTAAAGCTGTTATGAGTTCCCAAATGTCACAATTAATTGAGACAAATGCTCAATTAATGTGAATTAATTACAAGATTGGGAAGCTCAAGGGTCTAGGGTATTGGGGAGAAGGTGGAGGCGGGTAGAATGGAAGGAAGAGAGGAGGTGGTGGGTTGAGGGCAACAAATTGCTACAATGGTGGGGATTAGTGGACGGCTAGAGAAGGAGAAGAAGAGATAGAGAGGGAGATGATATCAACAAAGAGCTCACAAGCTGTTGGGTATTTCTTTAGCATTTTCCAAAGGATTTCACACCCACTAACTCAACTCATCAAGAGAAGAGGAAACATACAATCATAAATTTTATATCAAATATTCATCATCCTTACAAGAAAACAATGGGCCATATATATAGGCACAAAAAACATGAAATAAACAAAAGACTAGAAGACCCTTTGCCAAACAACACAAAAGCTCCCTCAAGTGAGGGTAAAACTGTAAGAAAATAAATAACATCACATAAGTCTCCTACAACACATGATCGAGTCTTTATATTTTTTTAGTTTTCACGTCCACTAATCCCCACCGCTGCAGCAACTTGCTGCCCTCAACCCACTACCTTTTCTCTTCCTTCCATTCTACTTGCCTCCACCTTCTTCCCAACACCCTAGACCCTTGGGCTTCCCAATCTTGTAATTAATTCACATTAATTGAGCATTTGTCTCAATTAATTGTGACCTTTGGGAACTCACAACAGCTTTAACTTTTCTCTCTTCCTAAATCAACCACTTTAACTTTTTACCTATTTTCCAAGCCAACTAGTTCACTTTTCAGGCAAGCTACATTTAATTATCTCTCTTTCCAAAGCAACCACTTTAACTTTTTCATTTTCCCAAGCCAAATAGTTCCCTTCCCAAGCAAGCTACATTTAATTCTCTATCTTTCCAAAGCAACCACTTTAACTTTTCCTTTTCCCAAGCCAAATGCTTCGCTTTCCAAGCAAGCAACATTAAATTCTCGCTCTTCCAAAAGCAACCACGTTAACCTTTCCTTTTTCCAAGCCAAATACTTCTCTTCCCAAGCAAATCACATCAGCCCTCTCTGTTTCCCAAGCAACCAACTCTACCATTTCACCTCCTAAGCCGCCAAACCCTCCTATAGCTAAAATTTTCTTTTCTCCCTCACTAATCTATCTTTCCAAGGAAACCTATCATCTACTTTTACAATGAGAACATCGATTTATCAAAGAGTAAGGGTTTCAAGAGGAATCCGAGGAACTAGCCGTCATTTCATCAAGGACTCCATTCCTTCCATTCATGAGCTAAGTATCAAACCCTTCTCTTGTTCTTCTTCTAACTAAATATTAATCTTCTCATTTCTTCCATAATAGCATCATTTCATATGTGTTGATTAATCCGCTAAGCCCTACTTAAATTTGAGTGATCGGAAACTCTAGACTAGTCCCTTAATTAAATGTTGGATTTATGCCAACCCATGTTAGCTAGTTTAAATTGATTCATCTATTTTTAATGTTTAGCTTTTACTTATTAGTTTCTTGCTATCATATGATCTAATAGTTAAAATTTTCTTATTGTTCTTAATGTTTTATGAAGTTTATTTTGCTGTCTTTGATGTTATCTTAGTCTAAATCTCTATTTGCATGGCTCATTTCGGTTAGTCCTACATCAGAGGGCCATCCATTTGGGGAAGGGGAAATTATGGAGGATTCGGGAGAAATAGGGGTGATCTGAAGGTCCGGAAACTGAAGATGCTCATCTTTGAATGGGAGGATGCACGTGGGTGGATTTTCAAGGTAGAGAGGTACTTCGTTGTCAATGGGTTGATGGAAGAGGAGAAATTAATGACAGCTGACCTATGTTTCGAAGGGAAGACGTTATCTTGGTACCCGTGGATAGACATGAGGTGGTCCATACGGAGCTAGAGGGAGTTCAAAGAATGCTTATTGAATGTTTCTGAACCAGCAGGGGAGGGGAATTCTATGACCAACTCTTTTGCCCTATTACAGGAAGGCTCAGTAGCAGAATATTGCGAGCGATTTGAGTACCTGGCGAGTCGATTGGTTTGGTTGTTTGAGGTTGTTTTGGAAGGGAATTTCATGAAGGGGTTCAAATTTGAGATACGGGCAACAATGAGAGTCATGAGATCTCGTAACTTGGGAGAGGCTATAGAGTTAGCCCAATTGGCGGAGGATCAGAAGTACTAGGAGAGTGGAGCGAGAGGCGGCAGTTCAGGTGGCTCCTATAGGATGATCACCACTCTTTTAGCACCTAAGGGGCCTATACCGGGCAACCTTTGTGAGACCCCAAGAGAGAAGCCTATAGGAGGAGGAAGTGGGGGGAATTTCAAAAGGCCGACGAAGAGGGAGATATAGGAGAAGTGGGTCAGGTGATTTTGCTTATGATGTGATGAGAAGTATAATCCAGGGCATAGGTGCAGGGACCGAACTCTTCAGGTTCTCACCATCTGTGATGATGAGGAACTTGAGGAGGGAGGTGGGAGTGAGATAGGGGTAGAGGAAGAGGACAAGCTGCACTTGACGTGGCGGATGTCTCCCTGAACTCAGTGGTTGGCTAATCGAGCTGAGCTCGTTTAATTTTCACAAAGCTCAAGCTCGAGCTCGAACTCGACTTGTTGAAAAGTATTCAAGCTCGAGCTCGGCTCGATTGCTCAAACTCGTTTAGGAAGTTCAAGCTTGACTCGTTTATTAAGCTCGAACTCTTTTAAAAAACTTTTGCTTGAATCGTTTATTTAGCTCGATTTTGTAGTTTTTCATTATAAATTTCATTTTTTAAAAGATTTTTACTTGGAATTTACAAATAAAGTATATTTTCAACTTATACATTAAATTTTCACTTTTAATAAAGTAATTAAAAATCAAATTCATAGCACATATTCATTCTCATATTTTTTTCAAACTCATGCCACATATTACAATTAATTTCTCTTAAATATCACATGAATATGAAAATGAAATAAAAAAAATTAGAGCAAAGCAAAACATAAATTTCACTATTTTAGAATATCATCACACCATTTCAGAAAATCTAATTGAAAATATTACTATCTTTAAGAAAGTTTTATAATAAAGCAAAAAAAAAGTTTCATAATAAAGCAAAATGATAAAGTCTTCGAGCGCTCCTCTCTATGATGTAACATATTTGACAATCTTCAAAATATTTCCTCTTTATCATCATTGAACATTAAAGCTAACCTGAAAATTAGGACATACAAATTATATAAGAATATAATTGAAAATCACAAAGTCAATCATTGTACATTATAAGTGAAAACTCACCATAGCCTTTCTGAACATAGTCATGAGGATCTTTATTCCAAAATTTTTTATTTTGTCATTGAAGCACATTAATGGAAATATAATCTCAAAAAGAACTATATCCAATTTTACAATGAAAGCACCAATGTTAGGAACTAAGGTTCCAATTAAAACCTGGAAAATCGTTAAAAAAAACGGTTACAATTAACTAACATAATGTTTTTGTGCTCTGTTTTTGGCTAGTATATTTCTTATTGAGCTTCCAAGGCAGGCACCTGAATTTAGGTTCTATGCCTACCAGTACTACAGTAATATTATTAAAGGAGCACTACAATCACCTCCCAAAGAAAATTCATAATTACCAAAAGTCATCTGCATTTAACAGCGAAGTAGTATAATTTGACCTGCATGCATGGAATTTGATGAAAACGAATAAATCCAGGTTTAGAGAGCATGATATTCAAGATCTAGGAAATCCAGTCCTGCATGCATGACAATTTGAATCGAAGGGAGAATATCGTATGACTTGATCGAGATATCACCATTATAATAGCATGGAGTGGAAATGCAATGCACTCCTATAACAAGCTTTAACTTACAGAAGTCTAAGATATGAAATATGGCCAAATAACTGGAATTCCATTATCCTGTAAGAAAAATAGCAACAAAGGAAGAACAGCAGACCCTTCAACAATTTTAAAGCAATGCACCAAAAAGCATGATGTCTACGCTGCCTAATCATTTCAATGATTCAAGTTTGTCAATCATCGGCTTTTCTTTAATATGCTCGTGTGTTTAGCTTTTTAGTAAAATGAGAAGCTGGACAGTAAACTAATTCATCAGCACTCTCATCTTTTGGCTACACGGTGATTGCAGAACTCACTCTCCACCCCCTCCCCTGTATTAAGTTTTGTTGTAAATTCATACCAGGCCACAATAGATTGCTTTTTGTCTTATCATAGGAAAATTTCTCTCTCTTCACTTGTAGACAACAAAGCTCCACAAAACAAGTGCTGGAAGAGAAACCCGAATCATGCTCAGGCTTCATTGAAACACAGCCAATGACGAAACATATCGACTTGGAAAACGACGTGGACAAAGCTTGCTTAAGCGATTCAAAACTCGTTCAAGTTTCAGGTGACAATGCGCCGTTGACCACAGATGGTGTCGATATCCGTACCGTCACCGACGACCAATGGAATGACTTCCAATCTTCTGATGCAAGAGTAGCAAATGTGAGGGTAATCTCTCCAGAAGCTGAGGGAACCAGCCTGGATATACCTGTTGATCATCATCTACCTGCAGGTAGCTCTCACCAACCTTGATGTGAATATCTACTTGTTTAAATTTACCGAAGGGATAATGAGGTAGTGGACTATTTGTTCCACTTAAATTTTCCTTTTGTATTATGTCCACGAAGGAATAAGTGTAATGTGATTTGCTTGAGAGAAATTGGAAAAAGCAATGATCAGCTTGAATTGTATCTTCTGCTTATAATTGCTCTATGGATAAGGATTGTTGGTTTTAGAATTTTGTATTAGTTCTTATGATTCTTCCTTTGCTGCAGCTTATGTGTGGATTTTGCTAAGAGTTTTGTTTTTTCATTGTGTACAGTAAACAAATGTGTCAATTACAATTAGATTGAGTGTGCTAAAATGAATTTCAATATGGATGTGAGATAAAATGAAAGAAGATAACAATGTTCATTAATGGATCCTCTCTACTACGCTCTTACATTCCCAAATGAAATTATGCTAAATTAATGTTTGGCTTTTAATTTATCAATTAATTGTCCTATACCCATAATTACATTTTTATTTTTAACTTTGTTTTAAGGATATTATATTTAGCTCAGGAATATTTGTTGCCCATATTTACTAATGATGAACATTTTAGGTGAAATCACAGCTTTCCTTGGTTTGAGATAGTTTTTTATTTTTAATTTTAAAAATTTTTATGTCAAAAAAATATTTAATCATTTTTAATTATAGTCATGCCATGCATTTAATCATTTTTAATTTTTTTTTTCAAATTCATTGGAAAATGCTTTTTTGTTGCTCCATAAATACTCGTATTTTAATTTATTAAAATTTAGTAACTAATAAAAAAGGTATGATGAAAGATTCACTTCAAAAACTAAGAAAAATAATTTTGATGCATTTAACAATGTTCAGCATAAAAATAAATGCGCCATTATTTTTTTTTTTTCAATTCACAAGGGAATGCCTCTCTCATTCTTTTTGGCTCCCAAAATACGCTTATTTTAATTTCTCTGAAAATTAGTAACAATTAAATAAAAGTAAGAAAATTCCATTGCCGGGATTTGAATCCGGGTCGCTGTGAAAGCCAGATATCCTAGCCGGACTAGACGACAATGGATTTTTCTTTACCCGTGTGCAAAATTTCCTGGTGTTCTCCCTACTGTAGGCCAGGCGCAACCAGTTCTTCCAAAAATACTAGTTGGTGAAGAGCTTCTGCAGTTGAAGAATCACGATATTTACCTCTGTTACTTTGGGAATTGGGAGTCGATTTGTTCTGCAGCGTCAGGTACCATTTGCTTTTATATAGCTTGATGGCTTTTCTTCTTGAACGTTTTTTCTTAATTTGCTTCCTTCGTTAATATATTTCTATTCCGTTTGGGTTTGCTAGGACGATTAAGACGTATTCCTGCCCTAACCGTGTTTCTGTATCGATAAACAGATTTTTTTCTTCTGTAAACTAAAACCTAGGGTTGGAACAGTTACTGTTCTTCTGATATTGGACTCTGCCAATGGATGTTCCCATCTGATATTGGTTTGTGTGCCGAATCAAAGCATTTTTGTTATCAACATTTTATCATCATCATTCACCTTATTAGAGTTGCCTTTTTGTATCCTCAATTTTCATTTGATCCTGTTGAGTATATCTTGTAGTGTTAAATTTAGTCTTTGCAAATATTTTTGAAGAACTTCTACCCATGCTACCTTAGGTTTACTAGTTTTCATTCCTAATTCTTTGGTACTAATTGTATCTACTCTTCTACTGGATGCATTTTCTACTCTTAATTATATATGTCCTTATCATCTAAATCCATGCTTAATTATCTTATTTTTGAGTAGTTGGTACTCTAACAATTTCTTTTATATGATTATTTCTTAATTTATTTTTTTTAACCACACATCCATCTTACTATTCTCATTTCTATGGTTAATTTAGATATCCACAATTGTTTGTTGCCCAACACTCTGCTCTTTATAACATCATTTATTTGCCTTTAATTTTTCAATGATATCATCATATCATATAATACTCCTGCCATTCATTCTAGTAGTAAGATTATCACAATAATGAGGTTCTTATTTGAGTTCGAGTGGATAGGGGGAGAATTCAAATTTACAATGGGTTTGGCATCACATTCTAACAATTCCTTGCTTCATTCAAACAATTCCTTGCTTTGGTACTGAGGATATTAGATGAATTTTTTGAATTATAATTTGAAGTTGGGGAAGAAAGAAAGGAATGGGAAGAAAATATAGATTTGTACTCTCCTGGCTAGAAGTTTGCTAAAGTTAGAGCTAAAAAAAGAAGATAAAGAGAAATAAGTATTAAAAATTAATTTGTCATATAGATATAATATAATATAAAACATCTAATTAATCTCTAATTTGCTTAAGTTGACATCATAACTTTTGCTAAAAATAAAAAATAAAAAAAAATAAGCCTTTATCCCACTACGTGGGGTCGGCTACATGAATCCTTTTTCTCCATTGTGTCCTATTAAAAGTTGACATCATAACTTTTACTAATTAAAATAATTAGTTTATATCAAATGATCAACTTAAATATACATTTATTAATATGTAGGAAGAATGTAGAATGAGCTAGTGTAATGCCTTGTTTCCCAGAGTCATTGCAACCGCTCGATTGTAGCATCATAGGAGTTCCAACAGAATTGTCAATACTGCTAGTTGAGTTACTCAATATGGGCTACTCTGTACAATTAAGGGTGCTCTGCATCATAAAATCCAACCAAACCATTCATGCTTTACGGAAATTCATTTTTATGGTGGGCCAAGATTCATTCTTGAAAAGGTCATCAGGCAATGCCAACCTTTGAGCTTCTGAACAATGATTGACTATGCTTTGTTCCTTTGAACCACCTTATGTTAGAGGGCACCAACTTGAAGCTAAGCTTCATCAGGATCAATAGTTATGTGATTCAAATTATTATAAAAGTGAAAGATAAAACCTATCAAGAAGACATGAACATTTATGTGGTTTGGCTTCAATCAATCTTATGCCATGGAAGAAACAAGAGGATCTAAAGCACTATCAAAGAAGACATATTTATGATTATGGGTGTAATTAAGTTAAGCTGATTCCTGAGTCAAATCGATGTTGGCTCAATTCATGTCTTTTGATTCAAGTTTGATGAGTTAAGGAGTGAAACTTGAACTAGCCCCAAATTTCTTAAAAATAATAAAGAGTAAGGATTTAACAATAAAGTTATATTAAGAAAAATTTTGTTCTCATTCTCAATTTATTTATCAGCATTTATGCTCCAATTTCACATTATTCTCCCGTGGCCATCAATTAAATAAAATATATAATATTCAAAAGATAAACTAGCACCAAAATGTCAATAACAACCAAATAGCCTCTTAAATTTGTGAGTGCCTTGTGGCATTCACTTTTTTTCCTCATTTTTGTTTATTGCATCACATCAATCGTCAATTCCACAAGTTGCAGCAGCAGCATAGGTAGATATTTCATTTGGGCATGGCGTGCTTTTATTGGCCTTCTTTTTGTTACTCAAGTAGGGAGATTGTACTATGGAGGACTTCAGCGTGAAATGACCAGGAGAGGAGCTATGTAAATTAAATTTTTGGTGTGTGGAACTTTTGTTTTGCCATTTGACACCAGTAATCTGATAATGCTTTAAGCGATTTTCATTCACAAGTAGCTTTTGAAAATGTTCATGCTTTAATGTTGCAGTTCATGTCAACCTGAAAAAAATGGCAGGCGGTTGTTCTTGCTTCTTCTTTTAAAAAATGTATAACCTCATTATCCTTTCCCAGGCAACACACACAGCAAGAACTATATGTAAATGTGAAAATGTGAAAATTGTCTTAGTAGCTCTTCAGTTTTTATATGAAAGGTAGATGTAAACTATTTTGAATTTGAAGTTCCCACTTGTTAGTTCGAGAATCCATGCTGGATCGTGACAATTGCCATGATAGAAATGATAAAAGCAGCAAATAGTTTGGTGAAGGTTGCTAATCAACCTGATGGTGGTGCAAGTCAAACAAAGAGGAAGAGGATCCATTGACAGGAAAAGGATAAACTGGCCCATTGGCGCTTTGAAGGTGATATTTATATCATATTTATTCATTCTTGGTGGAAGTTTGGTGGTTAAATCGGATCATTTTACATTTGAGGTGCTGACACATGCGCTCCCCTCCTCTCTTATGCCTATTGAGTATATTTTTCTCTTATTTTTGGATGCTCGCAGAACGTATAAAATTTAAGCATCAAATGTAGAAATATAAGCATAGAACTTTCTCTTATCTGATGGGAAACATCATAATTTCTCTCTCGAATGTTATTAGAAGGAAAAGAAGTGGAAGACTAAATTTTTCTTCCCTTTAGATATTCCCCTCTTCCTCGAATTTTCTCGCATAGAGGCAACCCTGTAATCTTTTCTACAAGATAGGATCTCTTCTTCCCTCTCTATAATGATCTTAAGCCATGAGACAAAAAACACTTCAAAGCTCTGTGATCATTATTCTTGTGAGTTCCTTTCACTAATTATCTATGTTCAAAGAATCTCCGCTTGATTCTCTTTAAAATCTGTGAACTCTCGAATATAAAGATTTAGTTGTTCACATTTGGCACTCTTATTGAGACATCGAGTTAAAAGAAAGAGTCATTTGGCACTAAACAGAGCCGTTAGGAGCAGTTTTTTTTTTTGAACTCTTCGGGCATTATCGCTGTCAGATCTCAAATCCTGAATGAGAAAAGTAAAAGATTACGTTAGGTAGTTAACATCTAGCTTAAAGCTTACTGAATAGACTATCCATATATAAAATAGATAAATAATAAGGAGGCCAAGGCTTCGTTTGGGACAGTTTTTTTTTTATGTTTTTTAAAGCAGTTTTTTAGTAAAAAAAAAAAAATTCTTAAATTAGAATTTTTTGTGCTAAAAAATAGTTTTACAAAGTAGCAAAAAAGTTGCCCCAAATGAAGCCCAAAACTCCCAAGACTATTTTAAAGGTGTGAGAGAAGCCAAGTCGAGCACTTGAACCCGAACCACTCATTTGGATTGGGTTCCTATCAGCTTATCCTACTATTTAATATTAATGTTATTTTGTTATTGAATAAAGCATTGATCAAATGATTAATTGCTTGCTAATATGATTGCAATAATTTGTTATTGTGGAAGTTTCAAAAGTTCAACTTTCTCTTTCCATGAACAAGAGAGAATAATTAGGATCTTTTTTTATTGACTTTGTTGAAAAATTAATCATGAAATTATTCTGAAAAATAAAATAAAATTATTGAGTGTATTATAAAACTTTTTATAAAAAATTTTAGATAATAATTTTCATATAATTGTTATACTTTAGCATATTGATTTACATTTGAAAAGTTTCTTATCACAAAAAAATATTATAAAAATAGCAAAAATCAATCGTGAGAATGCGACAGTATGAGAATAAATTTGTCGTAAATTCAGCCATAAAGTTGAAAAGTATGTCAATTTTATCCAAAGAATTATTCAATGAAAACAGCACGAGAAATAATCGTAAGTATTTACTATTTAGACGGAGAGAGAGAGAGAGAGAGAGAGAGAGAGCACGTGCATAATTTTGAATTTTTTTTTAATTTCTCTTTTAAATAATTAATATTTTGATGTGATTATGGTATATTATCTATTCAGAGACATTGAATAAAATTGAAATGATATAGAGAAGATTAACATTTTTTTGTTTTTTGTTTTTTTTTTGTTTTTTGTTTTTCTATAGAGAAGGTTAACATGACCTCTGTATAAGGATGATAATCATAAATTGAGAAATAGTTCAAGTTTTTATTTAAATTTCTTTAAGATGTATTATATAAATAATTATAAAGATTAAAGACTTAAGTATAGATATATAAATACATAATTTTTTTTGGAGCATTCTTCTTTTATTACTAAGATCATAATCTTTGTTTTTTAAAAATTAAATAAATAGTTTTTTCTTGAAGAATATTATTTAGTATTAGCATTGGAAGAAAATAAACTTCAAAGGGATTCCTAATTAGCTTCTTGATTGTTAATTAATTCAAAGTTATGATTTAATTGCTAATTTAGGCTTTATTAGGGACGGTTTTATTATTGCTTTTTTAAATAGTTTTCTAATCTACTTTAAGAAACAGCAAGAAAGCCATCCCAAACAAAAGTTTATGGCCAATTGAAAGAGATCAAGCTGGTTTAATGCGTTCAAACTATATTGATTACACATTAAATTAGTATGATTAATGAATGATTTAGTCATGCTTATAATTAATTTTTCTTCGTTTGTTTATTGAAGCTATAAGATTACTCAGACTTTTTCCTCCTATTTTTGGGTACTTTGAAGGTAAAGACACATGCGGGGGAGGATGTTGACTAATCGTCAAAGTTAAACATCTCTAACTTAATTAAACAAATCAAGCTAAATGTGAAGGGTTTTAAGTTTACAATATTTCCTCGTCGAAAAACAAAACTAATGTCTCTCGCGCTCCCGGGAATGGGCTAGGGCTTTTGCCCTAGCCGCCGTTCGTCTTCTCCGATTTGCTGCTGCTCTGCTCCGGGGAGTTTTTATTTGCTTTCTATCGCCTGTATTTTTTCGTCTGCTCTTCTTTATGGCGCCTCTTAGGGATCCTGGTTTCTTGGTTGGTTCTTCTTCTCTTTCGTTTAAGGAGGCGCTTGCTGGTTCGTCGCCCTCTTCGACTGTTTTTCCCGATCTTAAGATCTCCTCTCACCATGGCTTGCCGGCGCTGTGGATTTCGGATGCTGAAATTCAAGCTCTGGCAGCTCCGTTCGAATTTGCTCTTGTTGGTAAATTTCCGAATCGTAGACCTTCTCTTGAGGCCATAAGGAGTTTTATATATATATATGACATTTTTTTCATAATTGTTCAAAATCATTTTTGTGATAAGACCTATGATTTGATTCCATTGATTTGATATGGGTTCTCAGCCTTCTCTCCACCTAGCCTCATGAGAGGCCCCACAAGATAATTTGGGATTTTCTAATTACTCCATTAGACAAAGAAGATTTTCCCATTAAATCATCCAATTTGAATGATTTAAGAAGTTACCAAGCCTTGGCCCATAGCTTACCTTCTCAATTAATGTTTGGATGGCCCTCCAAGGCCACCCAACCAGCACTCAACTATAAGGATGATTTGCATTTGCATCCATGCAAAACAATTCTCCTTAACCCAAATTCTACTTTGGGCAACTGAGTCTAACCATTTAGGATGGTGCATTATAGAGCGCTGCATTGGGTACTCATACCCACACCCACCCACGTACCCACTCATACCCAAACGGTATGAGTGGGTATGGGTACGCTCATGGTTTCATTGGTGGGTACTTAACATCGGGGGGATAAAAAGATTTACATTGCAAATCATCATATGTCATATATTACCTTAATCCTCACTTCACAGTGCACAACCCTGAACTGCGCTGCAACCACGATAAATTCTTATATGCGGCTAAGAAGTTTGCAGTCAATGCAAAGGGTAACAAGCCCCAAGACCATCAATTTGTTGCGAACTGCATTTAAAAAGCATGAAAAATGAGTGGATATGATAGGGTACGATATCCCAAAACTCACAATGAGTAGGCGTGGGTACCCAACCAAGACCTCATGTAGGACTTTGATGCATTATAGCAGCTCACATATCCCAAAAAGACATGTTAGAATGATAAACTACTAAAGATATCATGAAGTGGCTACCTTTCCTCTCCTCACATTTTCATCTTCTACCGAACTGCTCCTGTAACCTATGAAGATAAAACTCTCATTTCATAATTAACAAAGTAACTATATTTGATGTTTATTTCTAAACAAACCACACCCAAAAATAAATATAACAAAATTGGTCACATATACTTTACATGCAATTATTTTATAGAATATTTCAAATACATCAAATTTGATAATCTCAAGTTAAATATCAATAATAAATTCTAAATATATATATTTTTATGAGAGCATGCCACTACTCTAATAGTTTTGGACCATTGAAGCCAATTAATAAGGAGGATGCATGAAAGCAAAATAGATATATTTATCTTTGTTTTGCAATGGACATTTGCATTCAATAACAATAATTTATCAAAATAAAATAAATCACATAGCCTTGTAATATCTAACAATAATAGGAACCTACATGCACACGATATGTAGACCTGTCAATCAGACAAATTTTTTCATTAATTACCCGTAATATCTGGCTTAATTAAAGATTATCTCTTAAGTTACTTGCCTAATCATCTTCTTGATTGCTTCCATTAATAGGCTCTCTGGTCAAGTCCAATGCAGTTAAAATTAATGTATGAAATTCTTATTTTGCTTCTTTATAGCTTAGGCTTGAAGTGTGCATACATTCAACTAGTTTAAAATATATAAAATGCAAGAGTAGATATGAAGTCAAGTACAAAATTTGTAAAATTCATCAAAGTAGTTCAAGAAAATCAAAATTCTTCTCTTATTTTGACTTTGCAAATTCATGCTAATAGTACATGAATTGAACAGGATGATGTTTTACTCTCAATTTTTGACAGAAAAATGTAAGAAATTAATCATTTTTTAATATGATTTGATCGGGAATCAAAATCTTTGACTGTGTGTTTGGGCTTCTTCCTCAAGATTGAGGCTTCGTTTGAGACGACTTTTTTTAATTTTTGTACTAGAAATCTGCTTTAAGAAGCAATAAGAAAATTGTCCCATTTCTAAAGATAAGAAATTTCAAAGCACCAAAATACTTTGTTGGAAGGAAGGGTTATTCCCTTTCTCTTTTCCTCATTTGTGACAGAAGATGGTTGATTTGGTTTTTCATCCTTTCTAGTAAATTTTGAAATAATTTACCTTGTTGCATTAAATTTTCATATAGAAATATCAACATGGATGGGCAGGATATAAAGCTTCCCTTTTACTATTAGCAAAATGAACTTGGACTAGTTGAGCAAGTTTCTATATAAATAAATTAGCAGAAGCTCCACATTAGAAAGTTCTTAATTACAGTTAATTAGAATTTTATAAAGACTTGTTGCGGGCTAGAATATTCGTGGTGGTAAAGTATCAAATTTCACGTCTTAATGTTGCACGAGTATCCAGCTCTTAAACAGAGAAAGACCAAAAAACACCATAAGATTTTTTTTAGTGTAAACCCCTGAAAAGGGGGAAAATCATGCGGTCACGCCCAATTGAAATGATCCCAACAATATTTGAATAGATTATAAATGCTTGATTCGTGCTTATAGTAAGTAATTCATTACTATTTCTCTTCTAAATATTCATTCTTTTATAATTTTATTATAATAATTATTTGAATCATAATCATTTTCTCTTTTTCAAAATAAACGAGTCAGTTTGTGATCTGGCTCGAACTCGTAAAATAAAGCTCAAGCTCAAACTAGAAGAGACTAGAACTCGACTCGACTCAACTCATCTACACTCCTAAACTAACTTATATGGCTCATAGTATTACTACTAAATTATTAAGATTGAGATAATTTAAATAACATTGATTCAACTTGACTCTCATTCAAATTAATCCAAATTTGATTATTATTATTATTATTATTAATGTCATTGAGACATCGATATCATCAATCATAATTAATT